GAAGGAGTATAAGCTAATTAATTTATAAAATGGAAAATGGACAAATTTATGGTGACTAAAATAGGCAATTTCAATAGCAGGGATCCCAATTTACAGCTCAGTGTACCACCTGGAATAGCTGTTCATGTCTGTAATTTCTGTACTTTAAATAAAGTACTCCTAATACATTAAACCTCCAGGAGCACACAAGGAATAAAAAAAACCATCACTAATTAAATACCTGCTTATCCAAAAACCATAGTAAGTAAAATACATGCACTACACRCATCCACTAAAAATGGGGGAGTTGAATGGGGAAACAAAAGCAGAGAAAGGAAAAAAAAAGAAGGGGATAATATGAAAAAAAAAGGGTTTTGGCAGCCTCACAATAACAATGGTCATGTTAAGTACTAAATCAGCCTTCTTCATCCTGTTTTAAGTGCATAATATAGAACAAAGTTTCAAAATACTGGAATGTCATAATGTTCTGAATCTACTGCTCTTTTACTACATCTTCTGTAGAAAAAAGTCACAGAAAATTTCTCTTTGAACTTCTCTGTTCTATGACAAAATGTCCACTGAGACTCATAAATCCTAATGCCATTTAATCAGTCTGAAAAAATTTTAATGAGCTCTCTCTAGATTTGGTACAGAGATTATTTGTAACTATGGGATCAATTAATTAATTAGAAATGGGAGAAACTGCAAAGAAATAGCGTTTTAAATTAAGGCAATGATTTACATCACTTGGAACTTTTTAAATAGAACAGATTGATTCTTCATAAGGAAGTTATGACCATTTGTATTACTTCAATCTATCCCTCTGTTTAAAAAGTAGATACAAATGGATTTATTTGCTTTTAAACTACTAGTAAGGTCCTTCATTTTACAGCAAAGGTATAGGCAAATTAACTAAAATACCAAAAAGAAATGCTTTGGCCCTCAGCATCCTTAAGTAGGAAGGTAACTAATCTGTGTAGTTTTGATGACAGAAGTACATTGGAAATACGTATTACTGTTGGCATGCAGATGTCAGAAACTCTCTGRTTCAGAGCCATACTTAAAATAATTTGCACACCATTTTTGTTATTATGAAACAAACTTCTTCAATTCGCATTGAATAGTTAATCTATAAATATAKAAAATATAAATTATACAAATGCATACAAATGGCCTGTTATTATAAACTATTTTAAATAAAAATTAATATTCTAGTATTGATAAATTCCAAAAGCATGATTCTAAATAATGTGAGCCCTATAAATTAAAGTGGAACAGAAATACATTGTTCAAAAGTATTTTCGTTTCCTTTTTTTTTTCCCCAGATTAAATCTGTGAAGTTGATCACTGAATAACCAGAKGAGTGAGACTGGAAGAGACCTCCAGAGCTCATGTGGTCCAACCTCCTCCATTGCACAGAACTGTATCCAGACAAATTCTGAGTATCTCCACAACTTCTCTGGGCAACCACTGCAAGTGCTTGGCCATCCTCACAGTAAAATAAAGTGCTTCTTTGYGCTCAGTCTTCTGTGTATGTCTGTGTCCATTGTCTCTGGTCGTTACCCCAGTGGTAAACCACTGAAAAAAGTCTGGCTCCTTCTCCTTTACAGTTTCTGTTCAGGTATTCATACACATTAACAAGATTGTCCTGAGTATTCTCTTCATTACAACCACATCACTAAAGAAGATGTTAGATAGGGCTGTACCCAATATTCACCCCCAGGGCACAGAACTAATCGCTGGCACCCRGCGAGACTTGTGCCACTGACCAYAACCCTCTGGGCCCAGCCATTCAGCCAGTTTTCAAAACCTCACTGTCTGCTCATCCACCGTTTCTCTATGAAGATCACATGGGTGACAGTGTCATAGGCACTATGGTAGTTCAGGCAGACAACAGCCACTGCTCTCACCCTGTCCACCAGGCCAGTCACTTCATCAAAAGAAGTTAATCAAATTTGTCAAGCATGCCTCTCCCTTGGCATAGCCATACTGACTACTCCTGATGGTCWGCTTTTCCTTACTGTGCCTGGAAATGGTTTTCAGGATTAGTTGTTCCATCATCTTTCTCAAGATGAGACTGAGAAGCCTGTAGTTCTTTGGGTCATCCTTCTTGCCTTCAGGACAGGAGGGACATTTGCTGTCTCCAGCCTTCAAGCACTTCTCCCAATGGCCATGATAGATCAAAGATTGTGGAAAGTGCTCTTTCAGCTGTCAGCACCTGACAGTTCATCTCATCAGGGTCCCTGGATTTATTAATGTCCACTTTGCTTAAGCATTCCCTGACCAGAATCCAAAAAAAAAAAAATAGTAATATGAAAAGGGTTTTTCAATCATCTACAAATTCGAGGAAGAGAACACATGGAAGAGTGTTTTGAACATTATGGCCTGAAATTTCTATAATATCCAAGAACACATTCTTTCTACATATGTACAGCTCCAGATGGTTTTCATACAAGTTGCATTTGTGCATTTGAGAGCAGAATTTGGAATATACTTAAAAAAATAGTAAAATAAAAATGTTCAAGTATTTAATCTCCAGATATATTCTGATTACCAGACTGGTTTACTTATTTACTTATACAACTGTGAATTGTCACTAGTGATGGATGTTCATATGATGCTTCATGTGGCACAAGATAGAGGACTAGGCTGAATTTGCAGAGTGTATCTTGTTTGAAATTCCTGTACTATTGTGTCATAATTATGCTTCTTAAGTTCCCAGTWAACCAAAGACTGCAAATGAAAAGGCCAACATTTAAGAAATTTCAGAATGGGTAATYATGACATTCTTCAATGACAGTAAAGCAGATATCAAGTCCATTTATACATCATTTTAAATATTGGTCTGCTTGCAGAAGCAAGCCGGCACAGCAGTGGCCACAGGCTGATATGCCACTACAGCTAAACTCTGGATTTGGTTTTCTATGACTACATGGTATTTTTTTTGTTTAGAGCAGCACTAAGTTTTGAAGGAAACCTGACAGTCCCCAATCACTCCCTGATAGTTTGTTTCACTTGGTAGTTTTGGCATGTACTAGGTTGCTCCAAAAGGAAGCTCCCGTTATTCTCTCCAGGYGTTTATCAAGCAACATTCACTGCTTAAGAAAACATAAAGCTCCAAAGATCCTATCTCGGCCTGGGATCACAAAAAATCTAATCCACTAGAAAACATTCAAATAATATATAGCATAGGTGTATGGGACTAAGCACTACCTATGATGTTCTAACAACCCCTTTTGCTTGAGTCCAATCACTTGCTTATGCAGACATTATCTTTACCTCCTTGGCTGCATAACTGTTATCATGAAATCCAAACCTGTAGCTCTACTAGTTCACTGCTTAGGAAAAATAATGCACAAGACACCATTACATTGCAACGGGTCACAAGTGTTTTGGATAGTTTTGCTTGTACTGTTTTTATTTCCTTCCTCTTGGGAGTTCAGTACATGCGCAAATTTCCCACACTTTGACATCTGTGACTTTTGTAGATCCAAMAAAAGAAAGTTCAGGTGAATTATCTGCACTAAGGAAACTTGTTGCTGTAAAGTTACATGGGAAAGATATGGACTCAAACATCTATGCTCTTCTTCAAAGGAAAATTAAAAATACAAAACTACTATCAACAATCTGTGATTTTGTTTGTCTAACATACCTTTGAAATTTAAAGAATATTAAGTGTAAMAGAGATGCTACCATTTCTTCAATTACACTTTTCAGTGCTAACACAAGTAAAGGAACAAATACAAATATCTACACAGTGTCACCGGCTCACTGGTTTTATTGCTTGCTTTCGGGTTGTTTTTAATGTTTTTGTCCTTTTTAAGTATTACCACCTTGTGACTTTTCTGAAATAGAACCACACAAACTAAGAGTTTTGGGAAAGCTGTCTTTCTGCTTCTCACATGAAATTAAAGTTCAATTTGCCATTAAAACGGCTAACATTCAATTTCCTTGCTTGTGTACATTTGACGCATCATTTCTAAACGTGCAAGCTTACAAATTAAGTTGATTCACATACACAGAACACCAAGAGAAACCGCAACAGAAAAATATCAAACCAAACCAAAATCCAAACCCAGTTAGGTTAACTGTTCCACAGTAAACCATACTGCACCAAACTTTACTTTGTATTCCCAGGCAATGAAAATATCATTTAGACTCTGGGTGAGAAATTGAAGAATGAAACGCTGAAGAATCTAAGCTAATCATACCGTAWGTATTTGTGTAGCCCATTTTCCCCCAGTAATTCTACTGAGAGAACAGTAATCACAGTCTAATCTACCTAAATTTGTTCCTTAAAATTAGCATGTAATGCATTTTTCTGCAATAATGAAAGTCCAAGACTTCAGAACTTATGTTCCACTTGGGACAGAGAAGAAGTGAGAAAAATATTCTAAGGATAAAGGCAATTTAATTTAAAATAAAAATGAAGACATTATTTTAACTAAGCCTCAGTTTATGTGAAATATTCTCCCTACAGATTTCTATTTCAGAATAAAGTTTGGAAAGTTATATACAAGGCAGGAAAACTAAACACATGTACTATTTGAGAAAGATTGCTCAAACTGATAGTTTTAAATCGAAAACAAGAACTGTGATCTGAGATATTTAGTTTGCTAGTACAAGGATGTAGGTTAGGAAATATGTCCGCTTCACAAAGAACTATATTTAACATTTCAACATTTAAGAGGTAAATCCGCCATGAATGTATGAAAAATAAACAAACCTATGTTTAAATAMCTGCTTCCAAACTTTGAATAGTGAAGTTAAACTTGCAGATTTATGTATAGAGCAGAAAATCATTGCACTTTCCTACTATGGCATGCTACCATGTAGCAAAWCACAGCAATCTGCATAACAAAGTCTAGACATAGTGGGGGGAGCTCTCTCTCTTCAACAGCACAAACATATTTGCTGATTTTTATAATGTTTATATAAATCTGAGTATTTATTAAATTAAAGATACAAATATAGCCCAAACAGACTATTCCTAAATGTAATTTCTGCCCTCCCCTTCTTACCTTCTCTGGAGATGCAGGAGGGTCAAATCTCTTTGCGCAAAGTAAAAATGGATCAGGATGTGGCTTGCCATGCTTCAACTCAGGGTCGTCTCCCAGCACAATATGATGAAAAAGACCAAATAAATCTTTGTGTTTTGTTGTTTTCAACTGAAATGATGATTTAGTCGAGCTGCTAGCAACAGCTATGGGTACGTTGTGTTTGTGCAAATGACGGATCAGTTTATTGACCCCTGCAAGACAAATATATTCATTTTTGTTTTTATATATAGGCATATAAGTTGCTATATGTATTGTTTATACCTAATTACCTAAAGTATTTAACTTACAAAGTATTAATAATTCAACAATGCTGTCTTACTGATTGTAATAAACACTCAGCAGAAGAAAAATTATTTTTATATCTGAAACATTCTTTCTATATTCAAAAATCATGGAACACTCTAAGTTATACGTTATCTTCTGTTATCAAATGATGCTGTTCTCAAAAGRTGTCAAAAATGTGATTAGCATCACTACATGAGACCCGCTAGAAAGTCATTAAGCAATGTTCCCCCATTATGTAATCTTAGTATGTGAAACTCTGAGAGTTTGGAAAAACATTTTCTTATATACAGTTATGGAAAAAAAAAAGTCAAAGAAATATATTCTTCTCACAATTTTAGTACAATTCTAGTACAAATCTAGTACAATTTTAATTTATGAAGCAGGGATCCAGTTGGCTCAAACCAGCCCTCAAGAGAGCTCAGTTTCTCTCTTTGCAATTACTAAAGCAAGTAACACTGGTCAGGGGAGAGCAGCTGTCAGTCACAGTTGTTAATACCAGAGCTTTATCTATTGATGCTGTGAACCCAGAGTAATGAACACCTCAAGCCTAATGGGTAGAAACTTCAATCTGATCCAGTCTTCTAGGGAAGGTTAACGCAGTGAACAATGAAAACACAGCAGCCTGTGTCAGAGGGAAACATACTTTGTTATTCAGTGCAAGTTTTGAGTTTTCTATGAAGAGGTTTTAATGCTTTTCTGCTGAAACATTCTAAGTGCTGGRTACTCTTCCAGACAAAATAACTAACATTATCTAATGAAGAACAAGAGTGATGTCTGGTCTTTATCAAGTCACAAGAGGAAATTCTCCATATCTGTAAAACCATTTCAGCTGTTCTCAGCATTAATCCCAAATGTACCGCACACAGGGTATTAGTTTTGGGTAGTTTAGTTACAGGTAGTTTAGGTTCAAGTAAACTCCAGTTGTCTTTTGGCTCTTTGAAACAACTTGAGCATAATTCTGTTTTCATCTTCCAAATACATGAATTCTTATCCTATTTTTCATGCCTGGTTATATTAAAATAATCTTACTCCCTTCCTCCCAAATCACTGTCATAGTTATGCCTGGTGTCCACTCCCTTAAACCATTCCTACTCTTCCTTTGCCACCTCAGCATCTCTGATTTCCCTTGTGATGCAGCCATTCAATTCTATAAACAAGCACCTTAGATGCTATACAGTAACTAGTCTGCCTATCTGGAAACAGGACTTGTAAGTATTACTCTGCAGATTTCTCATTTATTCTCCAGAATCTAATCAAACAATTAATAACTGACATTTCCAGCTCCACGATTGTATTTGAAGATGGCCTTCAAACTTTAAATACATGCATTTCCATGATGTTGGATTTTGAGTTGGACAGAAACAGCAAATGCTATCTCTCTTCTAAGGTCAATACATCAGCCATTTAAAAGCCCTCCTGTGTTCCCTTAAGTGGTTCCACTAAGCAAATGTCTTTTTCCCAAATGATGCTACTATGTCCTCTGACTGAAACACAATGTTAATACAAGCAAACTTTTTATTCCAGATAGTGTACATGTTCATTCTGAATYATGTGAAGTAAGTCTATATTAAATTAATGGAACAACTAAGATTCCTTAATGTAAAACGGAAGCATAAGTGTCTTCCTTAAAATAAAATGCATTAATTCCAAGGAACTTAATAAACTGCAATTTTTACCAAGGCTAGCAAACACACGTATAGTAATATAAAGAAGTCCAAAGATTACACAAACAGAAGACTTTTCCTATTTCCTACACYCTTGCTATGATAGAGTCAGTTTTCTCTAAAGTTGTGCTCTTTTCAAATAGCTAATTTTCTTCAGTCCCACTGCATCACAGCTTCAGTTCAYCTCTCATACCTGTAAACTGGGTATGTTTATTCTACATTTCTATTGCAGGTAGCCAGCCATGGAAAAGCACTGTTGCAAAAAGGTTATTTCTTCAGGGTTCTCTCTTGTATTSCCCAAGCACATGTCATGATTTCAGAGTGTAAACGTGTATGCATGTGTGTGATTTCTTTTTGGCTTCCCTTACAATAAGGGAGCTAAAATGCAGTTGTCCCTAATATCTCTGGAGAGCAAATATTTATATTATTCTGAAAATGTACTTTAATAAGAATATGCCATTTAAAAAATATTAYTTGCATATGTGTAAACAGAGCAAGATAGATTAGAAAAAAAATACACAGGGCAAATAATTAGCCCAGAAAAAAATTAAACTGCATTTGGAAAAATATCTAGCATAACTTGATAAGCTCAAAAAAGTAGCAGATGAAAAATATTTTTATTCCAGGTTTGCTTTCCTCTTTGTAAAGGCTATAGATCAGGCAAATCCATTTTTGTTTGCATCAATTACCACCAGTTTAGCTYTAGACACTTTGCCACCACATGAAATTACTGACACAATTATTGTACTAATTCAGCATATAATTCTTCATTAAGAAGATAGTATCTTAGTAATCTTCTAGTGTTTTTTTAAAAAGAAAACATCAAGGGGGGAATTGAGGAACTGCTTTACAGAACTCTAAGAAACTTTCCCTGGCAAATACTGTGTCATTGTATCTTCTACAGCTACAAAGATTTTTCAATCAAATGACAATCAAAACCAACCAATTCAAAACTCAATGACTATGAAGTATGTTGAAAATTCTCGTGATCTCAGTAACTTCTAATTCACTTGCAGCTATCATGTAAGGGATCAAGGCCCATCCATCCCAGAGTATGCTCGACTTTGTGGGACCACTCTTTACCACTCCTACTGAAAGCTTAGTCACATACAGCAAGAATACAAATTAAAGAAAGATCAAAAGAGATAAGGATCTCTCTTTTTCCAGCATAAGAATACACTCAAAATGTTTCACACAGGTAATAAACATCTTATGCATACAGGAAATAAACACCTTATGCAGTAACATATAAATTCTTCAAGTAATTATAAAAACATTGCTATGCTTTATTTCCAAAGGTATTCTTATTGTCAGATAGTCAAAGAGGTAAGTACAGCATCTTCACACTGTCTCTTTAAGTAAGTTTTAGATCAGACACAAAAGCTTAATATATTCTAACTAGAATAGTTAAACACTGGTGAATATTGCAAAGAAAAAATACGTGAAAATAATTGTAAGCAGAATTTTGTTACAGAAGTTACAAAGAGGAAGGATCAACTTTAAATGTCAGCATCTTTAAAATCCAATTAATCACAAATGTCAATGAAGTTATCAACTTCAAGAAAAGAAAATTAATTGAACCAACAGSAAGGACCTATTTCTTCTGAGACCACGGACACATTTGTCTTGATTTACAGACARTTTTAGGAGAAAACACTCTGGAAGAAATGTTTCCTCTAAAGAGAAGGGTTTCAGCAATCCCTTCCTGCTGATATAAAATGAATATTGGTCAGTGAAAGTGAAAAAACCTGTTTATTTGATAAACAAGGTGTCCGCAGGGCACGGGAAAAAAATGATTAACTGTTAGATATTGAACCTTCRGAACCTTACTCCCTGCTCCCCCTGCCCACCACAGCATAAACCCACAATGTCATGGGAAGGGAAAAACTACTGAGCACGTAGCAAGTAGGAACAGAAATGGCAGATGGCTTTCTGTCTCAAGGAGGGGAGGCGCTGGGGGGAAAAAACAGATGGGAACCTGGTGAAGCTCTGATGWTGGTCTYCTCGTCACTGCAGATGAAGCTGGTGGATTTGGAGTCCTCTCTTTCACTGGTTCAGCTCCTCCCGAGATCTGGGCTGAGAAGGTGTCCCCATGGCTTCCCCACCACTCTGCACTGATCGGCTCCCACCAATGGTCTGACTCAGACCAAAAGCCAAGSCGAACAGTCCAAGAAGAAACAYCAGAAACCACCAAGAATTGCTACTACAGTCCAGGGAAACATCTTGCCTAAGCTCACAAAACCTAAACTAGAGAAAASCAACAACGTAGCCTCTGATCTGCATCCCCAGGGGAGCACATGGAGGATGAAAGCTTACACCCCTCCCCCGGCCTCYCCTTAAAGCTMCAGGACCCATTTCTGAGCATAAAGCAGACGATCAGGTATAGAGTGTCATCATAAAATCACCGCAAGATAAACATTTAAAAGATCAGCTCTTTTGTTCTGAAACGTGCAGAAAAGCATATATGTTATATATATTTTTTTTTGAAAAAGGAACGTTTATTCCTCCATTAGACTCCAAATGTGGTGTTGTTCTCTTTAGAGTCAGCTGAAATCATGATGACTAATACATTGGATCAACTGGCAAACTAAAAATAAAATTTATACTGAACAAAAAAACCCTTGGGCTAACTGTCACATTGACTAATACAACATGTATAGCAAGAGTTCAGGAAACCAAATAATGTTACACTAAAATGATCTAATAAGAGTCCCTATCTAATTATTTACATGTTATTACCACACTCTTGTCTACATTATTCCTCTTAAGTCATCGCATTTTTGTATCAAATGACATTATCCATCATAAAGAGAATATTAACAAGATGAAAGTCCTGAAAACTAACTCAAATTGATGAAAAACAAAGAGAATTTTTATTTTCATTTTAGCTTTATACAAATGATCTCTATGGCATGCACAATACTTCAGAACAGTGAACAATGCACACATTTTTGCAACATTTTATTTGCTATAATTTCAAATATTTGTACCCTCCCTTTTCTTGTATTTATTTATTCCTGAACAAAACTCTGTTCTAAATTTGTACCACTTCTGTATGTCCAGATTCAGATCTATTTCTTTTGAAATGCTTCCAGATACAGGAGATATTATAATGTTATTCCATTCTTTTTCAACTGTTGGTTGCCAACCAAACTTTTGTCTACGAATATGTAACAGTAGTGTGTAAGAATACTTTCAAGATGAAAAACAAAGTGATCTACAYGATAAACTGGGCAAACCCA